GGATCGTGTGTCGGTGGTAAACAATTGGAGAAGTCTTCACAAGTGTATTGAATGGGAGTATATGAATGTATGTCAGTAATTTACCTTCGTTTTTACCTATAGCAGTCAAAGTAATTTAATAAGTTGTATTCTATGTAAAAATACATTTATCTGCTATCGTTTTATTTTAATTACAGGTTACGGAGATTTAGAAGATATTTTTCAAGGAGATCGTTGATGCATACGGATGATTTATTATTGTTATTTCACTTATTAGTATTTTGTTATTATGTGAATTGTTTTGTTGATCTCAAGAGAACTATGTAAATAATGAAGTTGGTTTATGAAAAAAAATTACGATTGATGTTTTACCCTTCAGTTATATTGCATAATTTTTAGTTTCAGGTTAATTTGATGTTTCACGAAACTGGTTTTGGTAAAGAATAGATATAATTATTTGCTACAGTATATATCTCGTAGTAAAATAGTATGCATGTTTTTGCTAAGGTATAATGTCGTACCAATTAATATATATTGGGTGTAAAAAGGAAGATGATTTTGCTAAGGTAAGAACCCGTACCAAATAAATTATTTTCTCCTACATATTTACTACAAAAGGAGGGCCGTAGTAAATGCTTTGAAAATTCGTAGTAAATACTATTTGCTACAATGGGTTACTGTAGTAAAGTATTAGTCACGCCTGTATTCACTACGGAGCAAAATTCATAGTAAAATCGTAGCGAAAAGGCTTTTACTGCGAATTTGGGACAATTTGCTACGAATTCAACTCGTAGCAAAAGTTCTAACCATAAATTCTTTAAAACGAGTAACTAAATTCGAAGCTTTATAAGACAAAAATTTAAAATAAAATAGATACCTATAGACAAAACGAGATGATGTCGTTGTTATAGATATAAAATAACAAAAAGTGGCAGTTGTCCGGATATAGTGTGTGGGGTGGTGAAGTGCACTTAGATACAATGTTAGGGGGAATTTATAGAATGTTATTAATTAGAAGAATTTATGGCTGGCTACTGTGAAGAAGAAGATTCAATTAATAGAATGAAAGCAGAAAGCCACGTGAGAAAAATGTAGGTATAGGGTTGTTTGCACAAGATTCAATTACCTTTTTTTTTTTTTTTAAGAGCAGAAGATTCAATTATTAGAATGACTCTGAGAACATACATCAGGAAAACTTGTGTTTTTGTTTTTTTTAAAGAATGGAAAACAATAAGTAAGGCTGAAAAAAAGATTCAATGGCAAAATTAAATAACTACTGTGAGCCCTCTGTATACAATGTAACTTGACCGTTAATTACTTAATTCATAGGTACAATGCTAAAGCTTGTGTAAATTATATATAGGCATGCAAAACAAATCAATAATTAATATGATATGATGGTGAGCTCGATCGAGATTATTCCTCAAAACAAATTATTTAATTAGTGACATCAATTCACCAAATGGAAATGTTTGTCATCCATTGGAACTCTCCTCTAACAAATTAAAAAGTAGTATCCCTTTCTTTCATTTCAACATTTTATATAACTAGGAAGGTGCACGTGTTTCGCACGTGTTGCATTAATTTTACATAATTAAATTATATTAGATTAAAAAACTAGAATTTCCCTATATCATCAGGTACAAAATTATGAAAGATATAACATTCTACCTAAATCATAGAATGACACCTTCAAATATGGATGCATCTTCTAACGCATGATTTGTATGTCACATTCAATATTTCTGTAGCCTCAAATTTCTTGAATAAGAAAACATTAAAAACAGATTATCCCTCTATTTAATTAGTGACATCAATTCACCAAATGGATATGTTTGTCATCCATTGGAACTCTCCTCTAACAAATTAAAAAGTAGTATCATTTTCTTTCATTTCAACATTTTATTTAACTAGGAAGGGGCACGTGTTTCGCACGTGTTGCATTAATTTTACAGAGTTAAATTATATTAGATTAAAAAACTGGAATTTCCCTATATCACCAGGTACAAAATTATGAAAGAAATAACATTCTACCTAAATCATAGAATGACACCTTCAGATATGGATGCATCTTCTAACGCATGATTTGTATAGTCACACAATATTTCTGTAGCCTCAAATTTCTTGAATAAGAAAACATTAAAAACAGATTATCCCTCAAAACAAATTATTTAATTAGTGACATCAATTCACCAAATGGAAATGTTTGTCATCCATTGGAACTCTCCTCTAACAAATTAAAAAGTAGTATCCCTTTCTTTCATTTCAACATTTTAATAACTGTTCACATTTTCCCTAAGACGACATGACAAATTTAATTTCTCACCATGTGATCATCCAATCATATCACACACACACACACACACACACACACACACACACACACACACACACACACACACTCTCTCTCTAGAATCATGGTGCGATGATAGTAGTACAATCATTTTTTCCCGCGTTTGGACGATATCGAACTAATAGAATTTTCATACAGCAATTTGAGAAAAAAACCTAAATAACCTGCAACACATTCAATTTACTATTACATTACAAATGATTCCAAATATAATTGATATACATCTCTTGATTAGATTACAGATGAGTTGGAAGTACTAACTAAATTGAGTAAATATTGTTTAAAAAGATGAAATTGAAGCACATGCATCTCCAAAAGTAGTCAAATTCATGGGATGCTACAAGCTAAAATGAATGAAAGATATAAATGATATATTTATTTACTACTATGTTTTTAATAATTGAACCATATTAATATACATGCTAATTTTGTACGAGGCACAACATATGACCTCAATCTACCATGTATATTCCAAAAAGTGGTGAGTTTGGTCAATCAATCATGTTTTTCATAAGAACCTATAACGAAATATATATGAACAATTCTTTTGTTTTTTTTTTTTGAAAAAGAACAAATGATATTATATTAAGAACTTAAAACCATGGTACGATTACAAGGATTGGATGTACTACGAGAGTACACTGAGAAAATAAATATATGTGAACAATTCTTTTTTTTTTTTTTTTTTTTAACAAGAACAAACAATATTATATTAAGAACTTAAAATCATGGTACGATTACAAGGATTGGATATAGTACGAGAATACAATGAGAAAAGTATATGAACAATTCTTTAGACAACCGGGTCGAAGAACTAATTGAGTCGACAGGTTCAACCCGGCCGTGTTTTTACTATTTCCTACTTGGTACTCCGTTCGTTCCATATTATATGTTGTTTCGGGTGGTTGCGCGTATATTAAATTATTCAATAAATATACATAAATTATACCAAAAATAACATAGTAAATACTAAAATATATTTGTCATTGTTTATTTTTTAATTAACTAATTTAGAATGCTAAGGGGCAAATTGACAATTAATGTTTTATAAAATTCTAAAATGACAAATAATTTGTGGGGCGAAAAAAACAAAAAAAAAACACATAACATTGAACATATGGAGTAATTAGTTACATATAATTTTAAAAACATTATTTGATAAAAATAAATAAAGCATGTACATTCATCATAAAAACATTAACATTAAACATGTACCTAAAGATTCTAATGTATTTCACTTAATCATAAAGGAAGTAAAATTAAAAAAATTCAACAAAATAACATATATTATATTTTAGAAAATGAAGAGAACTATTGAGAGATAATTTGAATATATGTATGTATATAAAAGTTCCCAACAACAAATACTTACTTGAATTGAAACTATTACTTACGTACCATAAATTATTAAATTTGCAAGTAATAATAAAAATAATATAAATCAGCAATTTGAACTATTCGACCATTCTCTACGTACGCCCAATTAATTTTGTTCTTCTTTCAATGTTTTTGCTTCCCTCACTTTACCACCACCAATGCCGATCTACGTTCTTCACCAAACCAAACGCAGAAGATAATTTTTTAATTTTGCCCAATTTAATACAGAACCGGGTCATTTGTCCGGTTTTGGATGGCTCAGCAAGAGCGTTTCCGGGTCGGATACATGTGAACGGTTCGCAGCCTGTTCTACCAATTATGTAAGTTAGCTTCTTTTTGGTTTTTTGTGATTGTGAGATGAATGTTATATAGTTAGCCAGAGCCAGTATTTAAACTTAACGGTCCCATTTAAATTTGCAGTAGAACATAGTGACCAAAACAAAACAGAGTGAGCATAGCAAGAAAGAACTTCAGCTTCAAAGAAAGAGAGAAATGTAAGTAAGCATATGAAATATTTTCCTTAGCTGTAATAATTCCTTTAACTATAATTCTTCCTTTTTTTACTATATGCAGTCAATGGCAATCCCGGTGAAGATCAAAGCGTACGTTGCTGTTATTTTCCTGCAAGCAAAGCTTGCATGAATGGATATAATAGCAAAAGTCGCGTTAAACAAAGACATGAGTAGTTATGTATTCACCACTTACACACAGTGGCCGCATGAGCAGTTATGTATTAACCACTTACACGCAGTGGCCACGCTATAGTAAAGGATCCGTTTGCAATTTATTTCGAAAGTTATTTTATTAACATACTGTTTATTTTATTTTCTTTTAAATTTTATGACTGAATGAATCAATATTTTTTTTCAGGAAAAAGAAAATTTCAAAGACGAGCATGAGAACAATTTTTTTTTTCAGGAAAAAGAAAATTTCAAATTCAAGCATGAGAACAATTTTTAAAAATTGATATCATGAGCCTTTTAGGGTACGTACGATTTTATTTATTTATTTATTTTGAATTACTAGGTCATTAAACTTATCATATTCTAACTATTTATTTATTTTGGTAGGCCGGTGGTGAGCCAAAACCTCTACTTTGTAGGGATGAGGTACACCACCGCCAGTTTCGTCGCCGCCCTGTCAAACGCGGTTCATGCTGTGGCGTTTGTGATGGCCTGGATTTTTAGGTAAAATCTTTAAATTTCTACTTGTTTTTTTTTTTCTCTAACTTTTTATGTATGTACAAGAAACATAATTGTGGTGCTTTCTCAGGCTGGAGATACTCAACTTGAGGTGCGTGCGGAGCCACGCGAAGATCATGGTCACCGCTATTACGATCGGAGGGGCGGTCATTATGGCGCTCGTCCATGGCCCCGTGCTCAGCTTCCCATGGACACACCGAGGAGGCGTGACACCCTCGCATAACCATGACGTTCAGCAGACCATCAAGGGAGCCGCATTAATCATGGCAGAATGCTTTAGCTGGTTATCCTTCATGATTATCCACGTAGGTTCTGCATATTATACTTCAATTCTTTTTGCTTCTAAAATTAATTATTTTGATATCTAATGTTGCTGTTAATGTGTAGGCTGTCACGCTTAAATCGTATCCCGCAGAGTTATCTCTCACTGTCTGGATCTGCATCTTAGGAGCATTTGAAGGAGCAATATAGTTGCATTGGTCATGTACAAGACCAATGCAACAACTTGGGCAATTCTATGTCATTTATTTTGTTGATCTGTCTTAACAAGTCATATATGGAATGGACAAAGATGTTAACAAAGTCCAATTTCTAGTGAAACTGCTCATAAGTAGATATTCATGAATCACACCACCTTTTTGTATTATTGATGAATATATTTTCTCAAATTCTATAAATTTACGATGTCTTCTTTCTGCCTTCTCATATTCTGTGTTGGAACAATAAATACAGCTGAAAAACAAACTCAATGGTAAAATTAAACAACTACAGTGAGACTGTATTCAATGTAACTTGGCCGTTAATTACTTAATTCATAGGTACAATGCTAAAACTTGTGTAAATTATATATAGGCATGCAATGAACAAATCAAGAATTAATATGATATGATGGTGAGCTCGATCGAGATTATCCCTCAAAACAAATTATTTTAATTAGTGGCATCAATTCACCAAATGGAAATGTTTGTCATCCATTGGAACTCTCCTCTAACAAATTAAAAAGTAGTATCCCTTTCTTTCATTTCAACATTTTATATAACTAGGAAGGTGCACGTGTTTCGCACGTGTTGCATTAATTTTACAAAATTAAATTATATTAGATTAAAAACTGAAATTTCCCTATATCACCAGGTACAAAATTATGAAAGAAATAACATTCTACCTAAATCATAGAATGACACCTTCAAATATGGATGCATCTTCTAACGCATGATTTGTATAGTCACATTCAATATATCTGTAGCCTCAAATTTCTTGAATAAGAAAACATTAAAAACAGATTATCCCTCAAAATAAATTATTTAATTAGTGACATCAATTCACCAAATGGAAATGTTTGTCATCCATTGGAACTCTCCTCAAACAAATTAAAAAGTAGTATCCATTTTCTTTCATTTCAACATTTTATTTAACTAGGAAGGTGCACGTGTTTCGCACGTGTTGCATTAATTTTACATAATTAAATTATATTAGATTAAAAAACTGGAATTTCCCAATATCACCAGGTACAAAATTATGAAAGAAATAACATTCTACCTAAATCATAGAATGACACCTTCAGATATTGATGCATCTTCTAACGCATGATTTGTATAGTCACATTCAATATTTTTGTAGCCTCAAATTTCTTGAATAAGAAAACATTAAAAACAAATTATCCCTCAAAACAAATTATTTAATTAGTGACATCAATTCACCAAATGGAAATGTTTATCATCTATTGGAACTCTACTCTAACAAATTAAAAAAAGTAGTATTCCTTTCTTTCATTTCAACATTTTATTTAATTGTTCACACTTTTCTCTAAGACGACATGACAAATTTAACATGTGATCATCCAATCATATCCCTCTCTCTCTCTCTCTAGAATCATGGTGCGGTGATAGTACTACAATCATTTTTTCCTGCATTTGGACGATATCGAACTAATAGATTTTTCATACAACAATTTGAGAGAAAAACATAAATAAGGCTGCAACACATTCAATTTACTATTACATTACGAATTATTCCAAATATAATTGATATACATCTCTTGATTAGATTACAGATGAGTTGGATGTACTAACTAAATTGAATAAATATTGTTTAAAAAGATGAAATTGAAGCACATGCATCTCCTGAAAATAGTCAAATTCATGGGATGCTACAAGCTAAAATGAATGAAAGATATAAATGATATATTTATTTACTATATGAACCTATAACAAAATATATATGAACAATTCTTTTGTTTTTTTTTTAACAAGAACAAACAATATTATATTAAGAACTTAAAACCATGGTACGATTACAAGGATTGGATGTAGTACGAGAATAAAATGAGAAAAGTATATGAACAATTCTTTAGACAACAGGGTCGAAGAACTAATTGAGTCGACAGGTTCAACCCGGCCGTGTTTTACTATTTCCTACTTGGTACTCCGTTCGTTCCATATTATATGTTGTTTCGGGTGGTTGCGCGTATATTAAATTACTCAATAAATATACATAAATTATACCAAAAATAACATAGTAAATACTAAAATATATTTGTCATTGTTTATTTTTTAATTAACTAATTTAGAATGCTAAGGGGCAAATTGACAATTAATGTTTTATTAAATTCTAAAATGACAAATAATTTGTTTGGCGAAAAAAACACAAAAAAAAAACACATAGCATTGGACATATAGAGTAATTAGTTACATATAATTTTAATAACATTATTTGATAAAAAAAAAATCAAAGCATGTACATTCATCATACAAACATTAACATTAAACATGTACTTAAAGATTCTAATGTATTACACTTAATCATAAATGAAGTAAATTTAAAAAATTTCAACAAAATAACATATATTATATTTTAGAAAATGAAGAGAACTATTGAGAGATACTTAATTTGAATATATGTATGTATATAAAAGTTCCCAACAACAAATACTTACTTGAATTGAAACTATTACTTACATACCATAAATTATTAAATTTGCAAGTAATAATAAAAATAAGATAAATCAGCAATTTGATGTAAATTACTAACAAGCCCAAGAACCCAAACCTAATACTATTCGACCATTGTAGCGCCTCAGTCTCTCCCACCTCTCTCTGGTTCTCCATC